ATAAGGAATGATTAAAAAAAACAAAAAAAAAATAATTGGAAAAATATTTAAAAAAATATACACGCCTCTGTAAAACTTCGAAAAATAATTTAAAAAATCCACGCCTCTAAACGCCCCGAAAATAATTTTAAAAAATCCGCGCCACTGTTAAGCCTCGAAAAATAATTTTAAAAAATCCCCGCCACTGTTAAGCCTCGAAAAATAATTTTAAAAAATCCACGCCACTGTAAAGCCTCGAAAAATAATTTAAAAACCAGTAAGGAAAGTAGTAAAGTCGGACGGGCCGACTATATAATACCCTTCACCACTTTGGTATATTCTACATATATATCGTAATAGACGTCGCCCCTTCGAAGGAACATTGAAATTGAACGAACCCAAGTATGAGATCTTTATCTGTATGTGAACCGACTAACATCGATTCGTACATATATTCTGAAACCTATGCTAAGTTTCATTTCATTCACACAGAATTACAGTCATTTGCGTACAATGGGACAAACTTATTTAAATCGATTTATAGAAAACATAATACACGCTATTCGCGTCAATCGGACAAATATTAGGAGTTTGGTAAGAGCTATCCTAAATTTGAACCGATCCTCACGAAACATAACACACATCATTCTAGACTCAATTAGGTACGCTATGCCAAATTTCGTGCAAATCGAAAGATACGTAGGGACTTTGGTGCACCGTTTACTTTAAATCAAACGAATATATATATATATATATATATATATATACATATATATATATGGGAGCTATATCTAAATCTGAACCGATTTTTATGAAACTTTGCACACATCAATCTAGGCTTAATTCAGTACGCTATGCCAAATTTCGTGCAAATAGAAAGATATATGTGAACTTTGGTGCACCATTTACATTAAATCGGACGAAAATATTTATGGGAGCTATATCCAAATCTGAACCGATTTCCAAGAAACTGAACACACATCATTCTAGACTTTATTCAGTACGCTATACCAAATTTCGTGCAAATCGAATGGTTTTCAGGGACTTTGGTGCACCATTTGTCTTAAATCGGACGAAACTATATATAGGAGCTACATCTAAATCTGGATCGATTTTCAGGAAACTTAACACACATCATTCTAGACCTAATTCATTACGCTGTGCCAAATTTCGTGCAAATCGAACGATATATAGGGACTTTGGTGCACAATTTACCTTAAATCGGACGAAATTATATATGGGAGCTATATCTAAATCTGGACCGATTTTCAGGAAACTTAACACACACCATTCAAGACCTAATTCAGTACGCTATGCCAAATTTCGTGCAAATCGAACGATATATAGGGACTTTGGTGCACAATTTACCTTAAATCGGACGAAATTATATATGGGAGCTATATCTAAATCTGGACCGATTTCAGGAAACTTAACACATATCATTCTAGACTTTATGTAGTACGCTGTGCCAAATTTCTTGCAAATCGAACGATATATAGGGACTTTGGTACACCATTAACATTAAATCGAACGAAAATATATATGGGAACTATATCTAAATCTGGACCGATTTTTCCCAATTTCAAATAAGGGCAAATGGTGACCTGTACCACATATCATCCAATTCGGATCATAAGTGCGACCTGTACTTTTTTTACAGACAGACAGACCGACGGACGGACATGCATAAATCGTCTTAAAAAGTTATTCTATGCATATTCTCAAAAGGAACAATGTGTCTATTTCGTTTCCTTTGCCTGTTACAAACATATGCACAAAGACATAATACCCTGTGCCACAGTGTGGTGAAGGGTATAAAAACTCATATCGGAGACATTTGAAGGTACAGTGGGATTGAAATAAAAAATAAGGAATTTGGATATCATTCCTTATTTTCAATTTCAAACAAAAAAAAAATAATTGGAATAATATTTAAAAAAAAAATCCACGACTCTGTAAAGCCTCAAGAATTATTTTAAAAAAATCCAAGACCCTGTTAAGGTTCGAAAAATATTTTTAAAAAATTAACGCCTCTGTGAACAAATATTGTTTAAAAAATCAACACCTTGCATAGTGTTTTGAATAAATGGCGCCCAACGTGGGGCAATTACTAAAAATATTTTATATTCTAGCAATAATGTTAATGGCTACCCATTCATAAAAATAAATTATACCAAGAATTTACCCGACTTCTCAATTATCAAAAATCTATTCAGCTTGTAACCACTGTGCCCACTTCACATCGAAGATAAATACCCCATTTTTGGCATTCAAACCCATATTTCACAATCGTTGGGACAAGTGTATTATTGTTTTGTGTGGCGTTTGATGGTGTTAGTGTGTATGAGGCGCAATCGACTCTTCTTTTATGATCCTTTTTTTTGGCAAATCTGATATTAAGTTTTCGAAAAAAACTCCTCTAATGAAATTAGAAGAATTGCTTTTATAGGAGTTCTCCCAGAAATGCTGTACCTGCGTATTTTTTGGACAACGTAATGTGTTTTGCGGCAATCTGATACGTATCTTAGTGTGTGTGATTTTTTGAAAACTGAAAACTGTTTTGAAATATGATGTCATGACTTTTTGGAGCAAGAAAAACTTCCTTTCGGATTTTTTTTGCAATAAAGGAATGTATTGTTGTTGGTGATTTTTGATGTTTAAAAATCGTTTAGTGGCATAGCGCCCATATACAAATCCCGATCGAATTTAGGTACTTTGAGTGTCCTCCTGGCGGAGTGTATAAAGAAAATGCAACCCGACCAGGAAATTAACGACATTTATAGGAATATTTTTTGATGATCCAAGTTTTAAGAGGATTTTCTACAAATATTTGTTAAGTATTTTACGAAGATTTTTAATAAACAAAAATTTGATGACCTAAAAGATTTTTTACAAATATAAAAGCTAGTAGCGGCATTGATTATTGTATTCGTTTTTAATGACATTCTATTCAAGGATTTTTTATATCCTACCCAACTATATTGTTAGGGTATTATAGCTTTGTGCAGCCCCAAGAGTTTGTAACACCGCGAAATATTGGTTCTAGATCCACATTTAAGTATACCGATCTCCTATCTTGACTGGCTGAGTCGATCTAGACATGTGTGTCCGTCCGTCTGTCCATTATAATTTGTAAACACTATACAGGCCACAGTTATGGACCAATCTTCACGAAATTTTGCATGTAAGATGGGTTCTGGCCAATGAAGACCCCTGTTGGTTTTGGTAAAGATCGGTTAATATTTAGGGATGAAATGGATCAAAGAGTTAATTTTTGTCGGTTTTTCTGGTCGCTCCAGAGGCCGCAATTATGGTCCAAACATCGCGAATTATTACATGGAGAAGGGATCGGGCCAAAAAATAAGCATGCCTGTTTTGATAAAGATCGGTCAATATTTAGCGGGTCAAATGGGCCCTGACTTTTGTGTGAAATATTACAAAATTTATATTCTATAGCGTATAGATTTACCCCTGAAGGACATAGATCCGACAAGTTGATAGTATATCCAAGAGGAGTGTTGACATTTAAATTGATACCAATTATATTCTCGTATGTACTCCGATGTGGGAGTTACACTTAAATATTTAAAGGTGCTTCTTGTATTATGTAGTAACGCATTACCACACTAGAGGTCAGAAATATGTCGCTGATCGCTCTGAAATTTTTCATGAAGTTCTGGTTATGGTCAAGGTCAACGCCTGTAATTTTCCATGATAATCAGATAATAATTTTGGGATGAAGTGGACCGAAAACATAATTTATTATGCTTTTTGCGAGTCGAGGCCACAATTGATAGCCGAACATCACAACACAACCCACGGTGAAGGGAATCTGGACAAGTAATTAAAAGGACTGCACTGAATATTAGTGATATTCGGAAAAAAAGTCAGTGTAAGGAAGAGGTGCCGTTGACCTCTAATCGGGCAAGAGGGTGCAACTATCACCACACTGTGGTACAGGTTTTCGTGCAGGCAAAAGATAGACACGTGGTTCCTGTAGATGTTAAATTTTAAACAAAGTACAGGTCGCATTTATGATCCGATTTGTGCTAAGTTTCGTGAAAATCGGTTCAGATGTAGATATATAGCTCCCATATATATTTTCGTCCGATTTAATGTAAATGGTGCACCAAAGTACCGTAATGAATTAGGTCTAAAATGATGTGTGTTAAGTTTCCGGAAAATCTGTTCAGATTTAGATATAGCTCCCATATATATTTTCGTCCGATTTAATGTAAATGGTGCACCAAAATCCCCATATATCTTACAATTTGCACGAAGTACGGTACAGCGTACGGAAATATGTCTAGAGTGATGTGTGTTAATTTTCGAGAAAATCGGTTCAGATTTAGATATAGCTCCCATATATAGTTTCGTCCGATTTTATGTAAATGGTGCACCAAAGTCCCTATATATCTTTTGATTTGCACGAAATTTGGCATTGCATGTATAATGTAATAAGGTCTAGAATGAGGTGTGTTACGTTTCGAGAAAATCGGTTCAGATATAGATATAGCTCCCATATATATTAAAAGTAAATGGTGCACCAACGTCTTTATGTATATTTCGATTTCCACGAAATTTGGGATAGCGTACTGAATAAAGCACATAATGATATGTGTTAAGTTTCGAGAAAATCGGTTCAGATTTATATATAGCTCCCATATTTATGTACATGGCTCCCATATTTATGTCCGATTTTATGTACATGGTGCACCAAAGTCCCCAAATATATCTCTATTTACACGAAATTTGGCATATGGTACTGAATTAGGTCCAGAATGACGTGTGTTAAGTTTCGAGAAAATCGGTTCAGATTTATATATAGCTCCCATATATAGCTTTTTCCGATTTTATGTAAATGGTGCACCAAAGTCCCGCAGAAATTTGGCATATGGTACTGAATTAGGTCCAGAATGACGAGTGTTAAGTTTCGAGAAAATCGGATATGATATAGATATAGCTCCCATTTATTATTATTATTTTTTTTTGCAGATTTAATTTTTTTTTTTCAAACTTACCTGTATTTTGTTTCGTATCCAATTGCAAGTTTCTCGATGATGCTGATGAATGTGAGTGTGAATGCGACGATGATGATGATGGTGTATCGTAATCCGGTACCATCACATCGTTCTGCTCAACACTTGTTAAATCCATGGTTTTGATAGAAGATACCGAAGAGGAAGACGACGAAGCAGCCGCTGCTGAATCATATAAATCCGTAAAATTATTTAAAGCAAATAAACCCGCACTGCGGTATTCTTTGTGATGTAACGAAGCACCGTGGCCGAGTGACAAACATGTCGAAGAAAGTGCCAATAAAAATGCCAATTTCCAAGGAAAACCAATCGCACAGAAATGATGGCAAATTTTTATTAAAAAGCTATTAAAATTATTGTGAGACTTTTGTGACGAATGCTGACCACGATGATGATGATCGGGATGTTTATGCTGCTGACAATAATGTCGGTGGTGTTGGTGATGGCCTCCTGTGGTAATTGGCAATGTGGGTTGGTGTTGTTGCTTATTTTTATTGGTATTTATTGTTGTTGTTTTATTTAAGGTATTTAGTGTTGCCATATTTGATGGTGAAATTGTTGAACTGTTGATTGGAAATGAATTATTTTTTATATTATTTTTTTTTTATTTTATAAAATTTGTGACTTCATTTAAAGAAAATATTTTTTTCGAATTTTTTTAATTTTCTTCCATTTAATTTTTCACTTGTAATTTTTTTGTTGGCTTCATGTATTGCGTGTCATTCTTTTCAATTATCATTTTTTTTTAATTTTTATTTTTCACTTTTTTTGCAACAATCAACATCATTTGGACTTTGCCACTTGCCACCAGTTAAAAGCAAATGGATGCTGATGGAAAATGAAAACGAAAATCATTAAATTAAATTTCACAAATGTTGACAAATTATGCCAACAATTAAAGATAATTGAGGCTAACTAAACACACAAACGTTTATTTATAACTCGATCGTCGATGCTTTTATTGGTATTGTTGTTGTTGTGGTTTTTATTGTTGTCGTTCATCGTTTGTTTCAATCATCATCAGCGAAGAACAAATGAATGTATGATGATGCGGAGAAGAAGAAGAAGGTTCTGTGGGCGCCCGACGCTTTCGTTGTGTTTTGGCAAACTTGAGAGTTGGTTGTGTCACTATTAAATAATAAAATTGACAATGACGTCTCCTCTCTCTCTCCCACTTTATAATTTTGTTTTTTTTTTCTCCTTTTTTGCTGTCACTTTAATTGATCATCTCTATGTTTGTTTCAATTTGTGATGTGATCTTTTGTTAATGATTCTATCATTTGTTTTGTGTCAAATTAACAACAATTGACATATAAATAAACTTTTTGGCAAAGTGAGCAATGCGAAATGTCATTTCGAAAATAACACACACAAAGACAATATGACAGTTGGAGGAGTGAGTGGCTTAAGGATGATTGGTTTTAGCTGGAAATAAAGAGAAGAGAAAATTATTTATTAGAAATAGTTTTTAGTGTTATAAAAAATTTGTATTTTATTTTTTTTTTAATACATTTTTTGAAAATATATTTTTTTAAATGTCTTTTGTATTTTTTTAAATAATTTTTAGGGCTTTACAGTGGCATAGATTAAAAAAAAAATTTGGAGGCTCTACAGAGGCGCGGATTTAAAAAAAAATTGGATGCTCTACAGATTCTTGGATTTAAACAAAAAAAAAAATTGGGGGCTCTACAGAACTTGAATTTTTTAAAATATTTTTAGAGCTCTACAGAGGCGTGGATAAAAAAAAATTTTTGGAGGCTCTACAGAGACGTGGATTTAAAAAAAAAATTTTTTTTGGATGCTCTACAAAGACGTGGATTTTTTACACCCATCACCACACTGTGGTACAGGGTATTATGTCTTTGTGCATATGTTTGTAACAGGCAAACGGAAACGAGATAGACCCATAGTTCCTTTTGAGAATATGCATAGAATCACTTTCTGAGTCGATTTATGTATGTCCGTCCGTCATACGGGTGTTAAATTGTAAACAAAGTAAAGGTCGCATTTATGATTCGAATTGAATGAAATTTGGCATATCTCATTTATATGGACCAAGGACGAACCCTATTGAAATTGGGAAAAATCGGTTCCGATATAAATATATATATATTTTGTCTGATTTGATGTAAATGGTGAACGAAAGTCCCTAAATAACTTTCGATTTGCACGAAATTTCTCACAACGTACTGAATTAAGCCTAGAATGATGTGTGGTAAGTTTCGTGAAAATCGGTCCCGATTTAGATATAGCTCCCATATATATTTTCATCCGATTTAAGGTAAATAGTGCACCTAATTTCCTATATATCACTCGATTTGCACGAAATTTGGCACGGCATACTGAATTGAGTCTAGAATGATGTGTGCCAAGTTTCGTAAAAATCGGTTCAGATTTAGATATAGCTCCTATATATATTTTCGTCCGATTTAAGGTAAATGGTGCACCAAAGTAACGGAATTTGGCATAGCGTACTATATTAAGTCTACAACAATATGTGTTAAATTTCGTGAAAATCGGTTCCGATTTAGATATAGCTCCCATATATATTTTCATCCGATTTTAGGTAAATAGTGTACCAAAGTCCCTATATAACTTTCGATGTGCACGAAATTTGGCAGATCGTTTCAGATTTAGATATAGCTGCCACATATATTTTCGTCCGATTTTATGTAAATTGTGTACCATAGTCCCTATATATCATTGGATTTGCTCGAAATTTGGCATTGCGTACTGAATTGAGTCTAGAATGATGTGTGCTAAGTTTCGTGAAAATCGGTTCCGATTTAGATATAGCTCCAATATACAGTTTCGTCCGACTTAATGTAAATGGTGCACCAAAGTACCTATATATCCTTCGATTTGCACGAATGTGTGTTAAACTTCGTGAAAATCGGTTCAGATTTAAATGTAGCTCCCATATATATTTTCGTCCGATTTTAGATAATTATTGCCCAAAGTCCCTTTATATTCTTCGATTTGCACGAAATTCGGCATAGCGTAATGAATTTTGAGTCTACAAAGATAAGTGTTAAGGTTCGTGAAAATCGGTTCAGATTTAGGTATATCTCTCACATATACATATTTATTCGTCCGATTTTACATAAATGGCGCAACAAACTCCTAATGTTTATCCGATTACTTGAAAGACGTTATTGCATTTTGTTGAAATTGGCTGCAGATGCATCCATAGCTTCCATATGTATTTCAAACGGGCGTCTGATTGAAATTAAATTTTGAACAGTGCGGCTTGTCGAATAGATTGTATAAATTTTGCTAGAAATCGTTTTCCATAAATTTGCCCCTGGGTGCGCAGACGACTCTAAATCTGCCCAAATGAAATTCCATCGAGGGAACATTGTCATACAATTGTAAGGATACATATGTACAATATACCCAAAGTGGTAAAGGGTATTATATAGTCGACCCAGACCGACTTTACTATTTTCCTTACTGGTTAAAAATATATTTGAGGGAAAAAAGTTAAAAATTGCGCAGACCATTTAATGTTTTTTCCCCTCTTTCTTTTCTCACAAGAATTAACTTCGTCTATAAAAAATTCAACAGCCAGATGTTCGAATAGAGAAAAGAACCATTCATAATTTATGTTATGGTCATAAAATTATATCTTATTAATAATTAAAACAATAAAAAGCATCTTCTTTTCTATAAAGTTTGGGAGAAGAAGGTCGTGAGATTGGAGAGAACAAAAAATAGTGAATATTTCCCATAAGAAAAAAATGTTTTAACAGAATAAGGTCAATTTATCTGGAGATAATTACAAATATAAATTTTATGACCCAACATCATCGTCATCATCACAATAAAGTAGCGGCATAACGAAAGTTGTAGCAATATAAAACTAGGCAATAATATGTTTTGTATTATTTACACATATAAACATAAACATTGAATTAAACAAAAAATAATTCATGTTAAAAAACAAACAATCAAGTTGAGCTTTGAAAAAATAATTTTAAAAAATCCCCCAAATATTAACCGATCTTTAACAAAAACAAAATGTGGGTCTTCATTGGCCAGAACCCATCCTACATGCAAATTTCGTCTAAAATTGGTCCATAACTTTGGTCGTGTTTACAAATTATAATGGACAGGCGGACAGACGGACGGACACACGTAGTCCAGATATGACGACGGTATACTTAAAGGTGGGTCTAGGGCCAATATTTCACGGCGCTACAAACTCGTGGGGCTGCACAAAGCTATAATACCCTGACAACATAGCTGTATAGGGTAAAAAAAATCCACACATTGAGGATTTTGAAAACATATTTTGATCAAATTCAGATTATTTTTAAAAATCCTACATTTTTATATCCAATTCTACTTATCCATCCCTGAAACGCACATAATTTTAAATGTGTCCTTAATGTTAATTTTTATGGTATTTTAACAATGTGGCCAATTTATTGTTTTTATTTATTTCAGTTTCAGTCACTACCACCGCCAGTGACTGTCCCCCAAAGAAGAGGAGAAAATACAACAACACCAACAAAAAAGAGAAGGGTAATAATTTTACTTTGTTGTTGTCGTAAATAAAGGGATTTTCACTTTCATTTAAAACACCTCTCAACAGAGAAATTTTGCCATAATTTGCGAGAAAACAGGAGGTGGTGATGGTGGTCATTTAAGAAAATTTAAATGAGTTGACATTACTCTAAGGCAAATAAATCAGTTTGCAGGAGGAAAATAATAAAAAATATATATCAAAAAAGGCAAAAAGACCCAAAAATATATTTTTTGACGACGAATCTTAAAATGCAGCTCAGTCAATGCGTGGATTATTTTAAAAATATTTTTTTGAAAGGTTCATCTAAAGCATGGGTCAATGCTTAGATTTTTTTTTAATATATATTTTCAAGACTACAAGACGTGAATTTTTTTTTAAATATTTTTTCGAGACTTATCGAAGGCGAGGATTTAAAATAATATGTTTACAAAAGCTGAATAAAGCTAGCATTTTTTTGAAAATATTTATTCAAATACTTCACAGAGGCATGGATTTTTTAATATATTTTTGTTAGTATTTGTTTTTTGTAACATTCTAATTTTATAATTCAATTTGCATACCCAAATGCTTATTTTTATAAATATATA